AACAACAACAACAATAGCAACAGCAACAGCAAGAACAACAACAGTAACAACAACAACAATAGCAACAACAACAACAACAGCAACAACAACAACAACAGTAACAACAACAACAATAGCAACAGCAACAACAACAGCAACAACAACAACAGCAACAACAGAAACAGCAACAAGAAAAAGGCGGATGCGGAAACTAAACCAAGATTTAGTCACTCTTCCAATGGAGTGGAAAGTTAATGTCTTTCTTTTTATTTCTTTTCTAGAAACGGGCCCCAACCATAATGTAAAAAAGCAAAACCTGGTCCCACTTGCCTGGTGGACAGGACAGATTTACCGGCTAAAAGTGCTTAATACTAGGTTATTTTCTTTGCAACTTGTCTCGCCATTTTGTCACCCCGACCCTTACTCTTGATTTCTACTTTCCGCAACAAAATTGCGAGGCGTTGCCCAGTGTAACACCCCTTATGAAACTTGTTTCGTAAACAATCAATATTTTTCACAATAACACAGCGTAATGGCTGACAGCTAAGATCAATAAGAGGACAGACACATACACTGTAGAATGACAAATTGCACGCGCACGGAGCGAGGGCGCGCTTGTAACCGTTTTTTAAACTTTTCCCTTGTTTTTGGATATTAATAACTGTATTCGCTGTTATCAAGCGCTTATTAGCAACGTTTTTTTTAATTTGCAAATTCATAATTTCAAGAGGGGAAATGACACTTCAGTTTTGCAAATTTTCTTGACTTTGATTGGCTACTAATATTTTTGCTCAGATCAACTGGCCTAGCGTTTGATACCCTGTCGTTGCAACTGCAACGCACTGTTTTATCGCGCAACAAAATAACGAGACAAATTGAATCAAACATTGCCTAGTGTAGTAGACGCTACGAGAGAAGCCGTTTCAGTATTCACCTAACCGGCAAATCAATATGACATATATTTCCAATTGAAGTTTATTTTTATAACAAAAATCAATGCGGTTGTTTGAGCTGAAAATCTACCAATATAATGAAGCATTTTATAGTACTGAGTTTATATAACATCTATAGCATAATATCAAGCATGTTCCAATATATCTGTTTTTAGCAGCCACTAACTTTTAAATGCAATAAAAAAATCTTATATTTATTTGTCTTATCAAAAACATCGTCGATGGGAACCACCAAAACACAGYCTAATCCTGTTATCACCAAGCTATCTAGGCGCTGATCACATAAGTCGGTGTTTGCGCTCTTTTGTCGATTCTGGATATCGGGCACAACCCACAAAGGAGCGAAAACTACGACTTATGGAATCAGTCTACGAGCTATCTATCTGAAAAGGATACCGCATTTACATTCGCATCCGCATCCGCATCCACATTCACATCCATAAACATTCCCATTCCCACTAAATTCACATTTACATTCAGATTTACATTTACTACATAGGATACCACATGTTCATAGTTGTTGAGCCTCTTTAATTTAGGGGCGTAACTTATGTACAGCTAGTCTCCTACGCAGGCGCACAAAGCGAGCGTTGCGTGACGACACACTAATAGCGGCTGCGTAGGAGACTAACGTACAGCCAGAGTATTTCAAGATTTTGGGTGGATGGGTGGCGTACTCGGCTAATGCGTCGTCTTTCACCACTGTGAGAGTCAGACTTGTTATGCGATGTTATCGAAAAGTTCATGGAATTTTTCACAAGATTTTTGAAGATTGGAACCCTATAGCAGATGCCCGCAAAGGTCTCTTGGGTAAGTTCGCGAAGAATATTGCATTACGCACCTAGTTTCAGAAGCCGACGGGCCCGGAAATACGTCACAGCTTTCTTTGTCCCGCTGACCTAATATATCGCAGGAGCAGCTAGTCACGAGAATCCAAAACATGGCGTTCAAAAGTTTTTTGTTGTTCCTCGCAATATCTTCTTCAGTTTGCTGTTTTACCATCAAAGCAAGTAAAGGCGTAAGCGTGTCTGTAGTCTTGTCATCTAATGGTAAGACGTTAAAGGTGTCCACTGGAAAAGTATTTCCTAATGTAGCTTGGGCTGGTTTTACTGACGAGATCGATGTTTCCGGGTAAGTTATGAAACTCATGTGACTAGTTCGTTGTTTAGAATGCCTTTTATTGTCGCTATGTCCTACTTTTAGCTTATGTTAAACAATTCCAACAACGTCAGTCAGAAAACTTATCCATTCCTCTCAAGGTTTTAAACAATTTTATTTCGTGATTCTTTCCCGATGTTTTTGCCAGGAGAGTGTAAGAAGAGGGGTAGGGATGGGGGCTAATTTTGATTTTGGGGAGGGGGGTTTGATTCATAAGTTAGCCATGTCCAGATTCAGTTTGATCTGTGAGTTAGCCATGGCCTGACTTATAAATCAGCCCAAAGGTTGTTTCAGGGTTTGATCTGTGAGTTAGCAATACATACCTGACTTGAGGGGGACATGGAGGTTTGCAGTGTTGCCCTCCCCTTCGTGGGGTATTTCATTGGTTGGAACTGCCAAATCACTGAGTGTTGTGCTGATCTTAAACCTTGTGATGTACAATGTACTTATATTACTTAATGACAGTGTTTTGGTGAAATGATCCAGTTGATATTTATCTTCCTATATTATGTCACATAGTTGGAGCTCTTTGGAAGTTCACAGCAATGGCTCGTACCCAGACATGTTGCAGGCAACAGCAGCAGGGATGGCAGAGGGATATATTACATCAGAAATGATCTCCATGGCATATGTCAATCAGTACGAAGGTTACTGTAAATCTGAATCTGAATTTTGTGATAATTTACAAAAGTTTGTGAAGAAAAACAATGACTGGATGGAAGAAAAGATTACATCTTCACCATCAGATGATTATTGGTACCAGGTGATGATTTTTACCATGTAGTATAACATCAGGGCTGTCAACTCTCCCGGATAAACCGGGAGTCTCCAGATTTTGGACCGTGTCTCCCGGTCTCCAGATTAGAGTATCAAATCTCCCGGATAATCCCCAAAGCTGACCATTTCTTGTCTTGTGAGACTAGACTTTCACAACCATAAAATTCCAATTATTTCATGTTGTTTGTGTTATTTTATATCGCTAACAAAATCAAAACGTTCCTCATGAACTGTTCTTGCAAGCAGGCCATTGTAATATAAGCGATAATCTGATTGGTCAGAAATAAACCAATCACATCAAATGTTACAAAGCAAAATACGTCTTTTCGCGCGCTTTTTGATGCGCTTTGAAGTCATGTCCCTTCCCTATCAATTCTACAGATTTAATATCTTGGGGGTTGACAGCCCTGTAACATTATCATAATGATACTATGTAATCCACCGTAGAAACCCAGAAACATAAACATTTACATGTACTGTTTGTCTTCAAACATACAAATTGTTGTCTACATTTGATAAAAGAACATACGAGAGCAAAATATGTATAATGTGGTACTCAGAAATGGGGGGAAAATGAAATTGGTTTCCAATATTTGGTCCTCTTTCAATGACCTCACAACCACATATGCTATCCTGTTACTACTATATAGCTGTTTTGTTAATTAATTGAATGAAATTATTTTTTTCTCCAGGTAAAACTCATTTTGAGTCAGCTCAATGGGCTCAAGGTGGGATATAGTGTCAATGCTTCCTTACCAAGCATTTCAGATCTGGCTTTTTTGTAAGTATAAACTATATGTATATCACTTCTTAAAAATGATTACAGTAAAAACCCGCATAAAAGAACACCCATTTTTGGAGTTGAGGCTGATTTTGTTCTTACTTAATGGGTGTTTACTGAAAAATCAACCTGAAGGTGTTCTTAAGGTGTTCTTMAAATAAATGTTTCTAAAATATATACAGTATTACTATATATAGACTACTAATACATGTAGATGATATCAATGTGTAAGTTCAAAAATGTTATTTAAAAAAATCTTGACTGCAATAATAACTGTATCAAAAAAGTAGAAAAATAAATATTGTCAGGTCAGGCTTGGAGTCTGCTACTGGTAACACTGTAATCTAAACCATCTCCCCCCATCGGTGTATACATGAGTACTGATGAGGAGGCATTTAATAGTGATTTTTGTTTTTTTAAGAACACTTTTTAATATTTCAGGCTGATTGTGTTCTTATTTACATGGTACTTAAAACGCCCAAATTCAGGCTGAGTGTTCTTAACCCACTTGTTCTTTTATGCAGGTTTTTACTGTATTGTATGGGAGAGAGACCATTTTTTTCTGTAAATTATTTGACTTCTGGGATTTTCTTTAAATATAAGAGTTGTCAAAAAGCTGACTTTACTAATCAAACTTATTGGTGGCAGTACTGGCCTGCAGCGTGATTGTTTGAGATTGTCAATGACTGTTCTAATCATCCAGTTACTCATACAGCTGTGGTTTCCAGTTTATGATACAAGTCTTGATATCCTTTTTTCTGTTTAACTTCCTAGCATGTTCCAAGCAAGTGGAGACCTTGAGGATTTGGAATATGTTTTAAAAAAGAAAACCCCTCGTCGTATCCTTGGATCTGGTTCCTGCTCAGCTTTGATAAAACTCCTTCCAAACAACAAGGAATTATTCATATCGCATGTAACGTGGAACACGTATATAGGAATGCTGCGAGTCTTCAAACTGTATGATTTTCCATTCAAGACTAAATTAGGAACAGGTAAACTCCTGATATGTGCAACCGAATTGTCACTCCTACTTCCTGGGATGATTTTTGATGATATACAGTAAGGGCTCACATAATTAGGCTGCTCCCATAAATGAGAAACAGTTTGGTGATGATGTACTTTATGATGAGCCAGCAATTGTCGTTCAACTGTCACTTGTCTGTTGACCTAGCATTGCATGACTATTGGCTGTGCATTGTAAAAAGTGCATAGAGTACATGATTACTGTCAATAAAACTCGGGGGGCCTGCTGGGTGCCTTAGATTCTCCCCTAGCAATGGTCCTGCTTTGGTAAATGCCATTCATTGACAAAAAATCAAATTGTCCTAAAGTTAAATGGGATCTTAATTTACCAATATTCATAATGACAGCAGAATTTGTAAAACCATCACTGACAGAGATCTTTGGCTTATTGGTGTATTATGTAATGTAATTGTCCATTACACCTTTTCTCTCTCTGATGGTCATGTCATTGTCTGCAGAAGTTATTCCTGGACAGCGACAGAGCTTCTCATCTTCACCTGGTAATATATTGAGTGGTGATGATTTCTACTTGCTGAGTAGTGGAATGGTAAGTCTGTCTTACAGGTGTATCTTACGTATACTGTATCTCGTCATAATGATAAGACCATTGTGGTCATCCTCATGAATGTTGTTACGATCACGACCATGATCATGACAAGCTGCCACCACCATAATAATAATAAATATTATTATTATTTTCAATTATAAATAGATATATCTTTTTATTGTAGGATATATGAAGAGATAATCTATACGTTGTATATATCTATATAGATGCAAAATACAATTGTTTTTTTTTTTCTCAGTGAGAAAATAATGTACAAGTATTATTATTATTACTGATTGTATCTTAAAGAGTTATTAAAAATTTAATTATTATTCTAAAGAAAGAAAGAAATAATAATAATAATAGTAATAATAATTATACTCTTAGTCAGTGGCCAAATTACAGTAGAACTGATAAACCAGTGGTCCTCTTTGTTTAACATTTTCAAAGTGAGACAGGACCGCCACTATACTTGGTCATCTGAGCCACGGCAAAGGTCTAATCATTTGCAGATATTGAATCAAAGGCAGTACCTTCTACTCAGATATTTTAAGACCCTGAGTGTTTGCCCAGCCAAGGAGGCTTGAAACCATGAACCTCCCCCATGACAGACCAGTGCCCAACCAACTGAGCTAACATTTCCTCTTTCTTTACAGGTATCTCAGGAAACTACTATAGGAAATTCAAACAAAGATCTATGGAAATATGTGACACCAGAAAATATAGTATTTGAGTGGATGAGAGTGATGGTGGCCAACCGACTGGCCAGTAGCTCTAAGGAATGGACGTACATATTTTCAAAGTTCAACAGTGGCACGTAAGTGTCATACCAAGACTTTTTTATTTATTTACATACACTCCGAATCAAAATCAAAATATGGTGACCAATTTGCATAACTTTTGTTCTGCTCTGACTAGCGACTGACTAGCCTCATAAATGTGAAAGCGCTCTTATATTTCCACATGAACATGAGGCTAGTCAGTGCAGAACAATAGTTATTCAAATTGGTCGCCATATTTAGATTCGGTGTATAACCCTTTTTGATAAATATCACTTCACTAAACTCTTTGGCCCTTAAAAATCTAAAAAAAACTTTTCTTTTTTATATCGTATGTGTAACAAACTTGTGAATGAAGATATAACAATCAGGTATGAAACAAAACTTATTGCTTACTTGATGAAATGAAAATTACATTGCGAAGCATGCCACCCAGTGAACTACTTAAAAGATATGGCAGTCATCTTGAATTACTGGCATTATGGGTCGTACATGTTTGTTTTTGTGTTTTTTTTAAAAATCTCATGTAAAGGTAGTTGATGTGCCGTCTTTGGCTTTAATAATGATAGACAGATGATAGAAAGAAAATAAGTGGTAAAGGTCTTTGGCTGTAATAATGACAGACAGAAAATAGAAAGAAAATTATATCAAGTCTTTTATTAGCTGTAAATTAGTCCCCTTGACGTCCCACAATGCATTGGAAACCAAGATGGCCGCCGTACCGTCAATGTAGTCTATTGTTTGCAAGTTACCAACCAGAAAGCGGAGAAAATCATTTTGATTGATTCAACCCCTGTTAACAATGTAAAAAATACATTTATCCATGATTTTCGTACTTCTTTGTATGGAACAATTCTTTTTGTTTTGTCCTACAAATTAAGCTCCTTTGACGTCACATGCGTTSTTTTTGTTGTTGCTACTGCTCTTGTTACTGTTGTTGTTCGTGTTGTTCATTGTTTAATCCTTTTCTTCTTCCAGTGGATGGTTCTTGACTACAAGTTATTCGAGCCAGGACAGCCAATCAAGCCTGGAACCCTGTCAGTCCTGGAACAAATCCCTGGCATAACAGAATCCGCTGATATGAGCGTTCATTTGGAGGAGCAGCGCTATTGGGCCAGCTACAACCTCCCGTAAGTGCCGATTATACCATAGCTACGATATAACGCGCGCTCGGATTGGCTGGCTACTGGTACTATATGAAAATAATCTCGTTCCCAGAGCCTGCGTTTCTCTTGATCAGCACCGAGGAACGAGATTTATATAAAGAAATCGGCGGAGCATGCGCTTCAAACGATAGAACAGGATCTTAACCTTCTCACGCGGCAGCCACTGGATCAATAGATTTCCCTCACATAGCCTCGCATTCAAGTGTTTCAGGACAAGGTTGCGCGGATTTAAACAATTAAAGGTTTCTATTTTCATGGGAATAAACATGGCACTGAGTGCATAAGGTCAATAAGTGTTCCAAACATTAACCATTCCTTGATTACATGCAGTGGCCATAGTGCAGCTCAGTGCCGTAAGCGTGCTATGCCGTGACCGTGATGTGTTCTAGAATTTTAATTGGCTGATTTTTTTCTCGCGCAAGTGATTGGTCTGACAGTGTTGTGACTTTGGCGTGACCGTATCCACGCCGTGTTTATGCCGTGTTCTGGGTGTTTGATTGCATGGAGAGCAAATTCTCGTGAAATGTGATTGATCTTGCGTAACGCTTACCGAATCATGACCGTGTTCGTGCGTGTTCGTGCATGTTCGTGCCATATGAAAACTGCTCAAATAGTTGGGCCTGGTAAAATAGCTCCTTGAGGAGTTCCCCTCTCGTATTCCTGGTTTCCATAGCCGCCAATTCTTGGTTGATTTTAACTTAATTTTAATATCATGGCCGACCAACATGGCCGCCATTTCTTTCGTCGTGCCATTCACTTATGAATGAGTGCAAACCAGCTATATATTAAAACTTTAGAAGTTATCATAAAATTGCATTATTTTTGTAGATACTTCCCCCTTATTTACAATCAAAGTGGTACTGAAGCCAGTCGCGAAGCAGAGGGATCGTGGTTCGACTATCATCTCAATCCTCGTGCACAGATATTTAAAAGAGACCAAGATAAAGTGGTGGACTTGGATTCCATGATGAAACTAATGAGGTAAAGTACTCAAGTCACTAATAACTGTATATTTTTGTAACTATTTTTACTATTTTTTCAACATAATATACTTAGATGCTTCATTACAAGCATCCTTGTCTTATTTTGATATTTTTATGTTATTGTATTAACTAAGTTTGTTTTCATGACAAAGCAAATAAACTGTAAACTGTAAAAGATTAGCAAAGGTAGCGTAATGGTAGAACGTTTACGCTATATATAAACAGATTTTGTTTGATGTGTTGTTCTCTTCCTTGCATTGCGGCAGGAAGGTTTCTCTCCCATTTCAACCGTTTTTCTCAAACTCTGATTTTTTGTGCATCCACACTAACTCTAGTTTTTACATGATCCGAAAGGAAAATTTCGATTCCAAAAACATTATCCATAATTAAGGTCCTGTTACACTGTGCAAGTTTCCTAGCAACTTGCGTTGCGAGACAAGTTGCTGGAGAATTGTACAGTGTAACAGGGGCTGTCTCGTCATTTGTTTTGTTGCGTTGCACGAAGTAGAGCTCATTTCTACTTTTCGCAACGGATTGCAGCAACCAGCAATACCATTGCACAGTGTATCACCCCTCCAACAATTTTTCTCACAATTTTAAGGCGTATTTTTTCAAGAGCGCCATGACGCGAAATTCCAAGGACCTTTATTGGAACACATGAATATTCTGCACAAAATCGAGGGCTAACACTGAGCAACAGGAAACTCGAAACTGGAGTGTCACCGGTCACTTCGAAATATAAAAATATTCTTTTATTCAGATATAACGACTACAAGAACGATCCATTATCAAAATGTAACTGTACGCCACCCTACAGTGCTGAGAATGCCATATCTGCTCGCTCTGATTTGAACCCTGCAGATGGAAAGTACCCTTTTGATGCTCTTGGTCATCGTATGCATGGTGGCACGGACTGCAAGGTATTTTCATACGGAAAAAAAGCGCGAAAAATAGAATGACGCGATTATTTCCTGGTCTGTTCTACCCTGCCCCGCCCCAGCACACCCTACCCAGGCCATCCCTTCCTTACACTATCCTTCCCTTGTGTGCCCTTCTTTACCACTCTGCCACACCCTGTCTTGTGCTACCCTATCCCGCTATGCCCTTCCATCCTCTACTGTGCTATGTTTTCCCTCTTTATTTGAACTATTTTTCTACTTTTTGACACAGATTACTTCATTTGAATTGTTCAAGAAATTCCAATGTACAGCAGTAAGCGGTCCAACCCATTCTCAGCAGCCAGTGTTTCAGTGGAGTAAAACAGAATGGAAGAAGCCCCTCGGTCACCCTGACAAAYTTGATTTTGCGCCAGTAGTTATGTCGTGGGATAGCAACTAAAATATTCAGTCCTCTTTCTTTGATATCCTCTTGACTAGGGTAGAGCGATCGGAAGGCTGTTGGAAGGCAATGCTTCATGACTAAGTTTTTGATTCTGACCTTTTAATACTATTTAATTTGCAAAAAGGTTTAATTTAAATTTCGTTATTTAGCCTATGCTAAGTGCGTTTGTTGCGCCGGTTTTTCACATTGTAACATTGTCTGTCATTATTACTGCAGTAGATTGATATGTAGAGGGTAAGTTACAGTGATAGAGAAACCCAACGATACTGAATGTTCCGAATGCTCTTAGAATGACTGTAACTGTGAATTTCTGTACCAATATTTTTTATTAAACTGTTATATAATTCGTATTTTAGTGTTTTGATGCGCGGTGAGCTTTACCAGGACTTCCACATGCCCTTTGCCCTGAGTTGTCCCTTAATTACTAGGAAAATCCCAACCAACTAATACTCAAAGAAAACGTTGTCTTAACTTGGTCGAATGAAGTCTTTTGAGGAGTACACTCCTCCCCTGAGTTGAGTTTGTTTGATGTGTTGTTCTCTCCCTTGCCACAAGGATTTTCTCCGGGTTCTACGGTTTCCTCCCGGCGTGAAAATCAACTTGTCAGTTGAGTGTTGTATGTTGTAAATATAGGATGTAGTAGTAGTGTGTGTGGAGGGAGCCTCATGAAGAAGCCCTGGGGTAAGTGGTTGTAAATATAAGTTGAATTACAAGTTCTTCCAGGATATTTCTTCGGATTGTCTGGTATTTTATTCTCCGCCTTCAGCAAAACAAATAATAACTTCTAAATTTCTATTGGAATTCAGTGGAAGTAGAGACACTCTGTAGAGCCACTGTTTATTCCATTTTATTTATTTGAATTTATTTTTTATTCCCTTACTTCACACACACAAAAAAAAATAATGCAACAAATTACAATAAATATTATGGTGAATAGCGAAGGTTACAATGTTGCCGAAAGGGCCTGAGAACCAGTCAAGATTCGCGCGCGCAAATACGTAGTTTCTCACTATGACTTCACAAATCTTCCGCGATTTCCCATTTGTATAGTTTTCTTCATTCGCGAAACACTGTTGTTCTGCGCTGCAATAAAAACGTAGGAAATAGTCTTATTAACGAAAGTTAAATTACGAATTTTAGTCCTAAAAGATGGGGTGCGCGTACAGTAAACCAAAAGTTCAAGAAACAGAACCGGTAAGTGTCTGATTCACTTAGATTTGAAGGACGTAGTTCACCACCAAAAATGTCATTGATTTGGTTTGCGCGCAATAAGTCATTTTACYTTTGTGTCACATTGCCATTTTTATATTCAATCTCAYTACAYATWTTTGAAATCAAAMCMAATTTAAAAAATAATGAAATTGCTCCATATTATCTTTCGCAAAAATCGCAAAGTTTAAAGTAATCAAATTACATGATTAACGAAAAAATGTAGCCGATAGATGCACTAGTTGTGAAAATAACTRCTAAAATAGTGAGTTTTCTCATTTYAGATTACTATGGATCAACTTCAAAAGGAGTTATTCAAATTTAACAATAACRTYCGAGGTTATTGGAGGCGAAAGAGTAAGAATTCAATCAACATTATTACTACTATRATTCGATTTTGTTATAAACTTGTGCAGAAAAACTGACTATGCTTATATTTCATGGTTACAGAGACCTTCTGTTTAAGAAAGGTGAAGCCCAATAATCCTCAGGCTGAGGAAAGGCCTCAAACCAAGGCACGGGAACCTTGCGAGGACAAACTGTGCTCAGGCAAACCTACAAACCAGGGTCCTTCAAATGAAAAACCAAAAACAACAACAAATTCAAAAGAAATCAAGCAGGATGGCGCTCCACGTGTACTGCGCTCTGTGTACTCAAAAACCGCGCCGAACAAAATCCGAAGATCTCTATCACTGGAAGCAATGGCTCCAGCAAAAAGATCTCTGCCATTACAAGAAAGAAAATTAAGGTAAATAAAGGCATGCTAACTTGGCCTTTTTCAATAGTAAAATTTCAATTGTATAATAATATAGACTTCAAATGTTCTTCAAAGGTATATACATCCTAGATATTATATCTGGTGGAATCGTATTCTAGAAGTCCTTTTTTAGTAATCCTGCAAGGTATCATTGTAATAGCTATTTTCAATCTCTTCAACAATTGGACAAACGTGGATTTTTTTAATTTAGAAAGAAAATCAACTGTAGTGTAAATTGTACTCCAGCTTTTTTCCCTAGTATCCTTACTTTCACTTATGTTGTTCTTATTAGTGAACAAAGCCAAGTTTCCATTGCTAATATTGTGCTAAGTTCACAAAAGAGTGTGCAACATACGTACACGCAAGGAAACCAGATGAGCGTTCTGAAATACTTCCATCGTGATAGACTGTACCATCCAGACAGACATTATAACTTCATCAGAGAGATTGGTCGAGGAGCTTTTGGACAGGTTTACCTCGCAAGACACAAACAAATACAGGTACTGACCTCATGATAGAAAGTGTGAGAAACACAAGTATATACGGCATGTCATAGTTCTGCTCTGACAAATAAAAGTGGTACATCATGATTATCCCTAACATGTTGGGTTTCGTTTTTCGTGATCAGGGCGAAGAATATGCCATCAAGACCATCTCGCTCGAACATTCAGACGAGAGAAGCCTGCTGATGGAGCTCGAAGCCCTGCTTACCTTCAAGCACAAAAATATCCTCGCTCTTGCAAACAGCTACCTCACCGATGGATTCTTGTACATCGTCACAGAATATGTGGCTGGGATGAGTCTTTACTCGATGATGTCCAACTTTTCAAACGGTTTACCAGAGTACATCGTATCACACATTATGAGAGAATGCCTGCAAGGACTTGCACACTTGCATCAGTCAGGATTTATCCATTGTGACATAAAGACCGAAAACATCTTGATTAGTAACACAGGCAAGGTAAAAATGACTTTTTTTCTTTCACTGCGTCAAATACTAAAACATCATAAAACTGCTCATATAGGGCAAGAATCAATCATTGCCATTTACTACTGCAGCAAAAGGATGGCACTAACGTTATTAATATGTTTGCAGATTAAAATCGCCGACTTG